AGCAGCTCTGGGGAGGAGCACTCTGGGGGGAGCACTCTGGGAGGAGCACTCTGGGGGGGAGCAGCTCTGGGGAGGAGCAGCGGGGGAGACGCCCCACAGGCTCCTGCTCAGAGCACTTGGGACCTGTGGGTGGTGACGCAGAAATGCCTGCAGAGCCCAACTCCAGTAAGAGCTGTCAACTGAGGGAAGTCAAGCCCCCCCACCCAAAAGCCCAGGGTCACACGCCCGAGGCTAACAGGACCTCGTGACACAGGGCCTGCCCAAGGGGCAGGGCAGGAAGGCACATGGCGCACGGCCCTCACTACTGTCCTTGCGTGTCCCTGGTTTAAGTGAGGGTGTGCACAGCGTGCCGCCTGTGTGAGCACCAGGAGAGACCAGGTCGTCTCAGCCCCTCTCCAGCTTCAGCCGCCCAGTCACCCGCTAGTGTCCAGGCCACTCGGCCAGCCCCTGGCCCTCCTACCTCTTGTGCACCTCTTCCAGCTCTGCGCTCAGCTTGCCCATCTCGATCTGCAGCCGGGCACGCTCCCGGGCAGTCTCGTCCAGGGCCCTGCGGGCGTCCGCCAGCTCCGACTCGTACAGCGCCTTAATGCCGCTCACCTGCGAGACAGCGCACGGTGGGGGGAGCGCAGCGCCGCGCCCAGGCACTCAGCTGCCCCAGGCGAGCACACCTGGCAAGACAGTGGCGGCCAGGGTGCTGCCCCACATCACCTGGCTCACACGGGACACAGTGCCCTGTCGGGTCAGCAAGGGGCAGACTCTCCAGCAGGAAAGCTGAACAGCTAGGGCCCAGGAGCCCCCCCACTGTGACCCCTTCTGGAATGATCTGTCTCCCCTCCCACACCCCAGCTCAAGGGACAGGTGGCGCCCAGAGACCCTGGACTCACCTATGCCCGGAGCACCACATGCCCAGAGGGAACCTGACCCACAGGAAAACAGGCCTCAGCCGGCCTCCTGGGACAGCGAGGACCAACCACCTCTGGATACTCGAGCCCCTGGGCAGCAGTCATGGCCACGTCACATACATTTTTCACATTCTCAGCTTCCAAAATCCAAGAATTGGGGGAACACATGAGCAAGGGTCTCCCCTGGGCACTGTGGACAAGGGCCCAGGTCATTCTCTGAGGTGCCGTCCTGGGCACTGCAGGGTGCTGAGCAGTGTCCCTGGCCTTCGTCCACTCCATGCCAGTAACTCCCCAACCATGAAAGCCACCAGCGTCCCCAAACCTGGTCCTGGGTCCCACTGCCCGAGCTCGGCACCACTGGTCTGACACCACACTGCCTCTTCTCCAGAAGTACCTGGCCACAAAGCCACTCTGGCTGCTTTGTGGGGCCTGTGTCCCTCCACACGGGGGGACATGGGCCCTGTTAAGGTCTGGACGTGGGGGGTCCCCCAAAGCTCACGTGAGACCGTGCTAGAAGGTTCAGAGGGGACACAATGGGTCATGAGTCCCTTCCCCCATCAGTGTTCTCACCCCAACTGGGTGACTTGGGTGACCTGGAGGCGGGGTGAGGCCGAGGAAGGGGTGACCTGGGTGACCTGGAGGCAGGTTGAGGCTGAGGGGGCCCGGGATGACCTGGGTGGGGTCCCGGGTGCGCCCTTGGGGTGCATGTCTATCTGGAGAGTGGAGTCTCAGGCCTCCTGGTCAGCACCGAGCCGCGTCCCTCCCCACACTCCCCCGCCCACCCAGGGACAGCGCCTGTCTGTGGACTGAGACCTGTGAAGTCCCGAGCCGGGAGTCCCCTTCCCCCCTCTCAGGGTGCCAGCCTTTCGGCCGCAGCGGCACAAAAGCTGACAAGACGGGCTGCCTCCCTCCCGTGGCTACGCTGGTGTCCTCAGGCTGGGGTCCTGGCTGGGCACTGGCCCTGCCTTCACTGTGCCCTGGGACCAGAGAGCTCTCCACAGACAAGCACAGGCCACCAGCAGGCCAGGGAGGAGCAGGGTTCCTCCAGCCTGAGCCAGCCGCTGGGGACACCCGCTGGTGGCTGGAGCCAGGCCACCCGTGCCATCCCTAGAGGGGGCCTGTGGGGGCACTGGGTACACAGGCTTCTGCAGGCAGCCACCTGAGTCCCGTCAGCCCGCTGGGCCACAGCCAGCCCACACCTGGCTGCCCCACATGTGGCTTGTCCGTCCCAGCCCTGTGTGCCAGGGGAGCAGAACTGGCTGCCTGCGGGCCCTCGTGCCCTGTCCCCTGCTGCACACGCGAAGCTACGCGCTAATGTTCCGAAGTATGTGAGCCCGACGGCAGCGAGGTCCGCCTCACACCCGCTGGCCGTCAGTCAGTCACGAAGACTGACAGCCACAGGTGAGGCACGGGGCAGCTCAGCCACTGTGGGACACAGGCTGGGGCCTCCTCCCCGGGAAGCCAGGGAGCCCCTGACCCAGCAGCCCCCTGCACCCCCTGAGGGTGCACCTCCCAAGGGAGAGCACCCGCCAGGAGACCCCCTCAAGTGCTCGCTGGGCAGCTCTCACAACCACCAGAGCCTGAAGCCCAGGCGTCCACTGACAGAAGGGCAGATGGCCCGTACACCTGGAGCGTCCCTCGGCCACAGGCAGGAGCAAAGTGACAAAGCTGAGCAGGGCTGGACCTGAGGACCTGGTGCTCAGTGACAGCCAGATACACAAGGCCGTGGTTGTGACCCAGTGACGGGGGACACCAGGACAGGAGAGTCCAGAGGCAGGATGTGGCCTTTGGGTACAGGGCTGGGAAGGCTGGCTTCTCCTCGGAGTGAGGAGCAGGTCCTAGAAGCCGGCACTGGAGGCCGGGCGCGGTCGCGCACCTGTGCTCCCAGCGGCTCGGAGGCTGAGCAGGAGGCTGAGCAGGAGGCTGAGCAGGAGGCTGAGCAGGAGGCTGAGCAGGAGGCTGAGCAGGAGGCTGAGCGTCCCCGCAGCCCCAGCAGCTCAGGGAGGCCCTGGGCCCCTCAGTGAGAGCCCGACTCCAGACGAAGAGTCTGGGGTGCGGCCCAGTGGCTAAGGGCTCCTGGATTCGACACCCAGGACAAAAAGTAAGAGACCTGGTCACTGAGGAGGGCTGTCCCTGGGCGAGCACACATGCAGGGCTGCGTCACAGCAGGACCGTGCTTGGCTTCAGCCCACGTGGCGACCTCGGGGCCCGTGCTGACAGCCGTGGGGTCAGACGGAGCCAGGCTGCTGGAGACTGAGTGGACTCTGAAGGCCAAGCTAGGGCACCCAGGACACCAGGAGAGGACTGACGGCCTCACTGGCCCTACTACTCTGGGCAGCAGCTCCAGGCCCTCCCCCATGCCAGGGTGGCCAGGCCCACTGCCCAGACACAGGAAGGGCCTCCTCCGGACCCCTGGGCTCAGGGCATGTCAAGTCTGCGGGACATGGTGTGGGTGACAGAGCACGCCTGCCCGCCGAGGCTCTGGCCACCCTCTCCCTGCTTCTGCCCAGAGGCCATCTGGGGCCACCCTCAGCTCCTTCCCGGGAGCTAACTTGCAGAATGAGCTCTGGGTTGACAAAAGTGCCACTCCGGCCTCAACCGGGCACATGCACATGCACAACCCTGCCCTCTGCCCCCAACCCCACCTCCCAGCCCAGGGGTGGTGTGACAGGACACCCAGAGAAGGGTGCTAGGTTAGGTCCCCAACGTCCCCAAAGGCCCATGTGTTAAAGGCCTGGCCCCAGGGTGGAGCTACTGGGAGCGGGTGGAACCTTAAAGGGTGGCCTAGTAGGAGGTCTGAGGTCACTAAGGACCCATCCTGTCCTCAGGCTGGAGTGACGGCACAGGTGTGCTGCCCAACCCCAGGAGCCAGACCACCCAGCACGTGCGGGACCCTCAGAAGGTGACCATGTCTTTAGAAGGCCCTCTCCTCAGGCCTTGTTACATGGCGGAGCCGGCACACGGCATCAGCGCACATCACCTCTGTGCCCACACTGCCCACTGGACCGCCCCAGTCCTGCGCTCCCTCACCACTCCCAGGACATGTGGGCCACCAGTTACCAGCAAAGACAAGCTCAGCGCTGGGCACACCAGCAACTCGGACATGCGTGTGTTTAGACTTTTGATAACTTTATTCATCATGGGTTTTCAAATTTTGCTTATTTTAAAAAACATTCCATCAAAACGTTATCTACCTCACCCAACGAGCGAGGGCCGCCTACAAACCCTGACCATCCTGTTTAAGGCTGTCCAGGGCACCCAAGTCGAGTCTGGGAAACACTCAGAAGAACCCGAGGAGATGTGATGCCCAGGGGCATGTCAGGTCCTAGACAGCGCCCTGGGGCAGAAACGGGCATGGGGAGGGCATCAGAGGTCTGCACAAGCCACGCTGCCTTGATGAGGCCATCTCTGCCCCACCTGCTTGGACAGCCTCAGGAGACCTGCACCTCTCCATGTGCCCAGGGAGCCCCATGGGCACAGAGCTCTGCCTGCTGTCCACTCCGCATCGCCTGTAGTGGCTCCACCCTCAGCCACAGCTGAGTGGAGGAGATGGAGGCCATCTGGTTGGCCCGACCTGCAGAGCCAGGAGGGTGGGAACAGGTGCGCTCCTGGCAGGGCCACCCGCCCCCTGCCCTGGACACCAGGACACCGGCCATTTGTCTTGTCTTTCACAGGATCCTGCCAAGATTGAGGAATCCCAGCAACTGTGGGTGCATGCACTGGCCCGAAGGTGGGGTCCAGACAACCCAGTGGGCTTTCCTTCCCTGGGCAGCATGGACACAGGGTGGCGCCCCTCAGCTGGAGAGTCACTGGAGACCAGCCCCAGTCCCCCAGCAGAACACCGGGCAGACCAGGTGGGGGAGAAAGCCCAGGCCAAGTTCCTCCCAGCTCCTGAAGCACCTGCCCCCACATCTGGGAACCCCACACCTGCACAGGCACGGGTTCCCCTACCCCCCCAGCACCCCGAGACCCTTCTCCAACAAACTCTGATCTGGAGCCTGCAGGGCCAGGCGCATGTGGCCACCCATAGTGGCACTGGCCACTCCACCAAAACAACACCAACCAAGGCAGCCCGGGGCAAGTCCAGAATCCACACTGAGCCCAGCACTGGTTTCTGTAAGGACAGCGGAAGGTGTGCACAAGGCGTGTGGGCAGGAGGGCTCAGGCACCTCACAGCCCTGCCTGCCAGCTCCTACAGCTCTGCAGGCACCCTCAGGGGACGTCTAATCCCATCTCCTCCAGGTCTCAGCCTGACACTGTGGAAGGCAGTCCTGGTCTGAGCAGCATGGCCCCCCCGCTGTGACAACCTCTGGTCCCCAGAGTCTGCCAAGCTTGCCCTGGAGGCAGCCTCCACCAGGTGCCAGGAGCTGCAGAGGCGAAGCGGGCACCCTGCATGGCACCCCAGTACTCCTTAGTGGGTCCACTTCCTCTGGAGCCCACAGGACCGCCCCCAGCATCCCTGCAGGGGCACTACCAGCTATAGTGTGACAGGGGCACTATCAGCCCCAAGCTCTCCCCAACACTGCAGCTGGTGCTAAGGGCGAGGCAGTGCGTCACACCCCCTCCCCCTGCACAGCGCCTCTTGCTCCCCTTTACAGGACTGAGAAACGAACACCAAAGCCACACGTGGACACTGATGGCTGGATCAGGTTCCCTGGGGTAGACCTCCAGTGGGGGCCAGCGCAGCACTTCCTGCATGCTTGCCAGACCCAAAGGTTCGTGGGACAACAGAGGTCCAAAGACAAGAGACAGCTGCACCCTGAATTCCAAGCCACTCTGCCAGGCAGGAACCAGGCTCCTGTCCTGAGGATAGCATGTGCTGCCCAGGCGGTGGCCCTGCCAAGTTGGGACAACTCTGCCCCCACTGGACAGATGGCAAAACCAAGGCTCAAAGAGGCTGGTGCCTGTCCAAGGTCATGCAGATTAAAAAGCAGGTGCCGGACATGTAATCCCAAGCAACTGGGCAGGCTGAGGCAGAAGGACTGCCTGTCTGAGCAACTCAGGGAGATGCTGTCTCCAAAAGAGCTGGGGGCTGGGGCCCACTCGCCTGGCATGTCTACGGCACTGGATTCCAACCTCAGCAGCACATAATAAAGGCATTTGTGTCCATCTACAACTAAAGAAAATTAGGGGAAAAAAAAAAGGGAGCGAGTGAGCTAGGGATGCAGCTCAGCAGTCTGTGGGCAGCACCTGACCAACACCTGACCAAGGCCCTGGGTTCCATCCCCAGCACAGGACGGAAAACAAAAGGGAACCTGGATGGGCAGCCCCAGGGTGGCACCACCACCCTTCCAGCTCCCTCCCCTCCACCAAGCAGCTTTTTGTGTTTCAGCATCCCTGCCCCCAGCTCCATCCAGCAGCAACAGGGATACATGCCTCTGGGCACTGTCCTGTTTTATTGCTTCATTTTGTAAAACATCTATTCTGTTGTGGCCCCACTAACAACCACCCCAGGGGAGGTAGCGCCCAGAAACCCACCTTGCCCTAACCCAGCTTCCCCAGAAGCCCCCCACTTCACCCCCTCTCCAGAGGGGGAAGGCAGGGCCCCTGGTAAATCTAGGTTTCAGTGGCAGCTCTCAGGATGAGACCCTGGGACTCAGGGACCCAAACCTCAGAACAGAAACCAAGTAGTGGGTGCTGCTCCTGCCCTCTGTGTTGACTTGCCCTTGCACTGCGAATGGTGGGTGGCAGGGAGAAAAGAGCTTCCAGGGGAAGGCAGGGGACAGCATCCCCTCCCCAGGATAGACCCCACCCAGGACCCTGGAGAGACAGCCCTCACCACCCCCAGGGCAGAACTTCCAGAGCCCAAAGCCTCCTTCTGGGTTGGATGGACACCCAGGGCCTAGCCCTCCTTCCCAAGCCCCAGGTGGTGCCTACGAGGCCAGTGCTGTCCTCCAGGCCAAGCTCCGGGCCACCCAGATTCCCCATGGGACCCGGGGAGTCCCCATCAGAGCCCATTCCTCAGATCCCCACCCCTCTGCAGGCCCACCCACTCCAGCCTCCCAGCTCCCACCCCAGGGTCCCTCCAAAGTCCCTGAGCTCCGGGACCACTGTGGAGCCCCCCTCCAGGTCCCAGAGGCCGGCCGCCCCGTTTCCCCAGGAGAGTGCAGCGCCCAGATTGCTCCTGCACACCTGGGTCTACCGGGCCACCGAGGTGGCGCTAGGGCGCCAGGCCGCCCAAGCCCCCGGGACCCCTTCCTGGAGGGCGGCCCGGGCTGCACCCCTGCCCCGCGGCACCTGTTGCTGGGAGTCCCCCGACGGCCTCCTCCCCGGTGCGCGGCCTGCTCTCTGCCCCTGTCCCTCAGGGAGCCCTCAAAACGCCCCTCTCACCAGGGGGACCCCCGGCCACCGCGGGCGGCAGTCGCTCCTGGCCGGCCGGTCCCCCGAGACCCCGCGGCCCGCCGGCCGGTGCCCGCCCCTCGAGCTCCCGCAGGTCCCGGAACAGGCCCGGCCAGCACCGCCGCGCGGCCCCCCGCCCCGGGAGCCGCGTACCTCGCGCGTGGTCACCTCCTCCTTCTCGGAGATCTTGAGCAGCAGCCGGTCGTTCTCCAGCTCGAGCGCGCGGACGCGGTCGATGTAGTGCGCCAGGCGGTCGTTGAGCTCCCGCAGCTCCTCCTTCTCCTGCAGCCGCGACAGGCGCGTGGGCGACAGCGGCGTGGCGGGCCCGCCCGCGCGGCCGGGCAGCGGCGAGGCCATGGCGGCGGCGGCTCGCGGCCTGCGCGGCTCCCGACGGCGGCCCAGGCTCGGCGCGCTCATTCAATCCGCGCCGCGCAAGATGGCGCCGCCGCCGCCCGCGGCCCGCCGCCGCGCGGGGCACGCCGGGAGTTGTGGTCCGACCGCCCCGCGCGGGGCACGCCGGGAGTTGTGGTCCGACCGCCCCGCGCGGGGCACGCCGGGAGTTGAAGTCTCCGGGCGCCGGGAACCCAGGGCCGCGCGCGGAGTCTCCCGCCTGCTCCCTCCGGGGTTTTCGCTGGAAAGACCGCTCGAGGCCTTCCTTAAAGAGCCACTGCCCGCAAAACAGGTGGACTGGAGCAGTTCATGGAGGTGCGCGAGGAAGGCCGAGAAAGACTGCATGTTCTCACGTGCGGAAGCTAAAATAGCTGGGCCAGTGGCGGAGCGCTCCTGGCCGGTGCCGAGGCCCAGCCGGTACTGGGGAGAGGGGTCACGGAAGGCCAGGGGCGGGGTGGCGGAGGGGCAGAGGGAGGGTGAATGGCAAGCACGAAAACAGGGGCAGTTGCACCGTTTATATGGTGCATTCTATGGAGGACTTGGAGAGAGGGGCCGGGACGCCCAACGCGGAGGGTCAGGAGGTCAGGCAGCGGCGCCCCCGGCACCCGGGGAGGCAGGAGGGGGCCTTCCGGGCCGGCTGGGCAGCTCGGCCAGACTCTGTCTCCGAATAAAAAGGGCTGGGGGTGTGGCAGGGTGGTGGAGAGCCTGGGGTTCCATCCCGGGTACCAGGGGGAAAGATGAAACGCTCTGCATCCCGACTTGATCGGATGTGGGGTGTGCATGCATCCGACTACCACGTCGCAGCCCGCCAATGTGTACAGTTCTTATGTGGCGACTCAAAGGAACAAGGGAGCCACATCCAGCCACCAAACCCACCTCAGCAACTGTGGGACATTGGGCTGCTGACTCGTGCCGGGTTCCCCACCCGTCTAGCCTTACTACCTCATTGGACTCCTGAAAATTGAGGTGGTGAAAGAACCCCACAAACATGCTCAGGGGAAGAGGCCGGAGGTGAAAAGCCACAGGTCACAGAGTGCCATAGATAGAAGGGCCCAGCAAGGAGGGCAAAGAGCAGGACATCACAGAATCGAGTGGTCTGATGTCATTGGCTTCTGCCAGCAGCCATCTGAATAGAGAGGGGCCTGTGAGTAGAGTCCAGGGCCTCTGTCTGCAGAAAGGAGGCCCTGGTGGGTGCAGAATGACTCCCTTGCGGGGTCCGAGCAGGCTTGCTCAGCCTGTTCAGGTAGACTGGGACCCTGTGGGTGGGTTGCTTTGAAGCTCCTGGTTTGGGGGAAACTGGCTGATTGGACGTGCAGTTTGGTGGTGTGGCCGGATCTCAGGGACCCAAGGCAGGAGCTTAGTGCACAGCCGTGGCCTCTGCAGATGCGACTTGGGAGGTCAGTCTCCACAGTGGGCTTTCTCCAGCTGTGCGCTGCTGGCAGGGGATGGGTGAAGGGGACCTGCCCACAGTGGGGTGTGAGCGGGCTCCACCTGTTTGATGGCAGAGCCACCTCCCTCCTGCCATGACAAGCAAAATGTCTGTCACAGTGCAGCTGTCCCTGGTGTGGTGTGTCAGAGCGAGGTCAGGGACCCTGCAGATGACACATTGGGAACCGGACCCCACCCACCCAGCCTTCCGGGGACACTGGTAGGCTGCGCTTGGTGCCACTGTCCAATGGTCTGAGTGACCCCTTGTCCCCTCCCCACAGGGCCAGGCCTTGGAAGCCGGCTGCGCCCAGGCGGACTCCAAGTCCCAGGAGGCACCACCGAGGGCTCTGGCCTTGGTGTTGGGCAGGTGGTGCAGCTCCAGCACCGGCCAGGGCAGCACAGCCGACCCCAAGGCGGGTGCCCACACTGGCAGGTGCGGGCCCTGGGAGACGCCCGTCCCAGTGCCTCTGCTCCCAGTGCCTCTGCTCCACGCAGGGCTGAGTTTTGGCGCCAGATTTTCAAAATCCCAGGCCAACGGCTGCTGCTGGTTCCCGGCCCGGATCGCCTTCCAGGATCTGAATTCCGGAGCCCAGAGCTCTGGGAGGCCTGAATTCCGGCATCTGGATCTTGGAGGAGTGGATCCTGGATCTGGTGTAGACCCAGGCTTTCACGCGGAAGTCCTAGGTCTTGGGGTTCCAGAATCTGGAGTCTGGGTCTTGGGGACCCTGATTTTGGAGCCTGGAACTGTGGAAAGCCGTTCTTGCATGTGATTTGAGTTACCTCCCTGGCTGGGTGAGAGGCGCTTAGACACACTGTGTCAGAGCCTTCCCCACCCTGCCCCAGGTGCGAGGGCTTGTCCAGGTGGGAGTGTGCCTGACCACTGACCTGAAGACCAATCACTGACCCTGACCTTGGAATGCTGCCCCCCTCAACCCTCATTGGACGGAATTTTCCCCTGAATTTTTTGTTCCCCAATAAAAGCTCACTCCCTGGCATGTTCCCCCTCTCGCTGGCCTCTTGTGTAAACCTCGCTACCGCATCAGGTGGCTGGAGGCAGGAGTGGGAGGAGCCGTCTCTGAGCTGGGCAAATAAGGTAAGAGAGTCATGTCTCTTTAATTTGAACTCACTAGTTTATTTCTGTGTTTTGAACCTCTATTATGAAGCTAGCGTGCTGGTCGCATGGCTGATGGAACCTGAATTCTAGGGGTCTGCATTTGGGGGGTCCAGATTCCGGAGCCTAAGTGTCAGAATGCAGGAACCTGGGTTTGGACCTATAATCCCAGGTGCAATCGGAGGTGGCTGATGCTGGGCTGGTGAGCCTGGAGGGAAGTGCCCCCTGTGTGGGGTCAGAGAGGCGGAAGAGCGGGACACACATGATCAGTAGCCAAGCGTGTGGCAAGCCGGAGGCGGTTCGCGTGAGGAAGAAAGGCAGCGACCACCTTGGGAGTGTGCGACGAGAGCAGGACTTCGAGCAGAAGAGGGGAGAGCCCTAAACAGCCAGGACAGCCACGGGGAGGACATTAAAGAGGAAACACGCGTGCTGCCGCATCCGTGTATCCATCAGCTGGTGCTGCATAACAAGCAGCCCCCAGTACACACGCACACACGAGGTGGTCCTGGTCAACAGGGTCAACAGGAAGGGGTGAGTTCAGTGCAATAAAATTTTGAGAGGAGAAAACCCATTTGTACTTAGAGTAAACTGTCCTGTTTATCACTGTTGCTGGTCTCTGTGCCTCATTCACACGCTCCCCTGTATCGTAGCGGGTGTGTAGGAAAATGAGAGCGTGGGTAGGGCGGGTCCCAGCTGAGGCTCAGGCCCTGGGTAAGGGGGCCGACCCGAGTGGTCGAGGCAGCGCACTCTTATGTCACCGGCACACGGGTCAGCAGGAGGAGCGGCTTCGCGGGGCCTGGTGGCTCAGGGCTGCCCCCACTGTCCACACCGCCATGGGACGTGGCTCCTGGCCGGGCGCTGGGCTGAGAGCTGCAGCCCTCGGGGGCCTCGCCACCTGAGGAAAGGGTCTGGGGAAGCCCTCGCCGTTTGTCATCGCAGGGAGACCAACCAAAACCACCCAGAGTTCCCCGTGAGACCAGGCCACCAGCGGGGCCGCGGGCAGCCCCAGAGACTGGACGGCAGGAGGATCGTGGCTCCGTGAGACCCCGTCTCAAAACAAAAAAATAGAAAGTGCTGGGATGTGGCTCAGGGTCGGCCCGCCTGGGCTCTGTCCCTGCTAGGGACAGAGATAAAAACAGGCCACGGCAGGGGGCAGCGTGTGGAGTCAGGTCCTCCAGGACACGGCGGGGAGAGGGCGTGTGCACGGGAGTGTCACGTGTGTCTGAGTGCATTCACGTGTGTGCGTGTGTGGGGGGGGGCAGGCATGTAAATGTGCGTGTGTGAGGACTGGGTGTGAACACGGGGACTCATGCGTGCTGGATAACAGCCACCGCTGAGCTCCACCGCCAGCCCTTTTTGGGTGCAGTTGCCCAGGCTGCCCTTGAACTTGACCCTCCTGCCTCAGCCCCCAGAATTGCTGGGGTGACAGGTGTGGCCACTACACCTGGCTCCCCTTTCTCTTTTTATAAAGCCACCAGGATCCGATGGGGGCTCCACACCAATCACCTCAGTGACCTTGTCCAACCCTGATCACCCCGGGGCCACCTCTGAACACTGTGGTCAGGTTGAAGCGCCTCCCTCCTGATACCTCAGCAGACTGGACTCCCGCTGTGTTTCAGAGGATGAACCCGGCTCAGACCCACGGAGTCTGAGGGCAGGGCAGAGGGGATGTCCCCTCTCCAGTGCCAGGGGCAGGAGGGCTCTCTGGCTCCAGGAGAACCAGCCCTTCCTTCCATTCTGGCCTTTACCTGGTTGGACCAGGCCCACCACTCAAGGGAGGCCCTCCCCAGTTACCGCGTCACCTGAACCCCTCGCAGACACATCTGGAACAACGTTGGGCCCAGCTTCTGGGCACCCGTGGCCCAGCTGTGTCAACACACAAAAGGCACCTCCACCGACTCAGGGAGGCTCGCTGGACCCTGCTGGCCACAGGAGCGTCCCCGGTCCTGGAGTCCTGCCTGCTTCATCGTCTCCGAGGGATTTTACAAGTGTGGACTTTGCAAAATACCAAAGACCATACAGGAGGTTCCCGCCCAGCCTCCCCAAGGCTGGCCTTTGTCCCCAGCTGCTGGGAGGTGACCTCTAGGCCCCAGGAATGTCCCTCCTGATGGGTATGTCTCCGTTTGCCTGGAGTCTGTGGCCTGGGACAGTCCCATCTGACAATAGGAGGAACGAGGGTTTGGGCCAGGCTCTCTGGGGACCAGCCTCCAGGCAAGAGCTCAGCCAGGCAGGCCGTGTGGAGGCCGGGCCGGGCTTCCCTGCTTGGGAGGACTCCTGGGACCCCCCCGGACTTGGCTTGGTGCCTGGCCTTCCTTGGTCAATTGGAATTTGTATCCTGTAGCCACAATAAAACCGTGAACGTAGATGGACCATTTTTCTGGGTGCTGAGAGGACCTGAGGAGTGGTCGTGGGGTCTGTGAACTTGGTCAGCTGCGCTGAATGGAGGGTCCAGGGAATCCCTGAACCCTGTCTGCAGAGAGAGACCCTCCGACCAGGCAGTCGGTCAAACTCTATACATGCACAGAAATCCAAACTGTCAGCTGAGCATGGCAGCCACTCGGGTCATTCCAGACGCTCAGGAGGCTGGGGCAGGAGGACGACACGTAGGAGGACCGCCTCAGCAATCTGGGGAGACCCTGTCCCAAAATAAAAATGGCTGGGGATGTAGCTGAGGGGTGCAGTGCTTCCAGGGTTCTGGGCTTCATCCCCAGTCCAGGAGAGAAACAGAGGAAGAGGAAATAAGGCAGAAGCCGGCTGGGGTTGGCTCAGGTGGAGCGCTCGCCCAGCACGTGAGAGGAGCTGGGTTCCGTCCTCAGCACCCCAAAAAAGTTAACTAAACAAAGGTGTTGCGTCCAACTACAAATAAAAAATATATTTAAAAAAGAGGGCTGGGCTGGGGCTCAGGGGCAGAGCGCTTGCCGAGCATGTGTGGGCCCTGGGTTCGATTCTCAGCACCGCATCTAAACAAATAAAGTCCATTGACAACTAAAGAAATATTCAAAAGAGAAAGAAAGAAAGAAGCCGGGCACAGTGGCCCATGCCTGTCATCCCAGCTCCCGGACAGGCTGAGGCAGGAGGATCTCGAGTTCATGTCCAGCCTCAGCAACTTAGCCAAGACCCTGTCTCAAAATAAAAAGAGAAGCCGGGCCCCGTGGCCCACGCCTGCCATCCCAGTGGCTCAGGGGGCTGAGGCAGGAGGATCTTGAGTTCAAAGTCAGCCTCAGCAAAAGTGAAGCGCTCAGCAGCTCAGTGAGACCCTGTCTCTAAATAAAATACAGAATAGGGCTGGGGTGTGGCCAGGGGCCGAGGGCCCCTGGGTTCAATCCCCAGAACCGAGGGGGGTGGGCAGCCCGGAGGACTGTGCCTCTGCAGACTGGAGTCCATGCTGGCATCCTGACAGCCTACAACGCAGCGCCCTCTGGACTCTGACCAGCTGTGACATTGTCCTGCTCTCCTCGCTGATGGGTGGCTGGGTCCCTCTCCGACGCTGTCCCCTGGTGTGTCTCTGGGAGGCTCCTGCCTCTCCCTCCTCTAGGTCTCCAAGGGACCCTCTAATGCCCGCTGGGACCTGGAGTGTGTCGGGACTCAGCCTCGGGCCCCAGGCACAGGGCACGGAGCAGAGGGGGGCTGGGCGGGGCTGCCTGCCCACAGGGGCTCAGCGGTCACTCTGGTGGTTTCAGTGCCGAGAAGAAAAACCAGAGGGAGAGAAGCCCAGCCGCTCAGCAGCAGGAGGTCCGCGTCACCGCCCAGCCCCAGAGGATCACAGAGGAGGCGGGTGCGAGGGCCAGGTGTGAGGGCCGGCCAGGGCAACCCGCTGCAGTGGCCAGGGGAAGGCCACGGGGTGGGGTGAGAGGACACAGGCCAGGACACGGAGGACGCATCCGAAGGTTTGCATTGTGCTTTACTTCTGGAGGGTGCGTGGAGGAGGGACCTAGGCACAACTTAGCTTTTGGAAGAGGCTGTGGCAGGGAGAACCAGGGGGTGGGGGTTAGCTTAAGGGTGTCCAGGGAGGGATGGGTGACTTCAGGTAGCCACAGAGGGGAAGGCAGAAGGAACACTTATGCCAAAGACATTCTCAAAACACCATTTTGAGTAATCCTTCCCACAACCTGACTTTCCCATGAAAAGAAGGAGTACAGAGAGGTTAAGTCACCAACTCAAGGAAACACAGCCCATAGTAGGCGGAGGTAGGAGAGTGTCCTACAGATGTCTTGCAGCGCGAATGATCTCAAGCACAGCCTCTCCCCAGGCAATCCCCTAGCGGGCACTGGCCCAACCTCCAGCCCCGAGTCTCCCCACTCTGCCCTGTAAGGGAGCCTCAGCCTTCTAGCGCCCAGGCCCTGCCAGCCACCCCACCACCTGGCATGCCGCTCCCACCTCCTCCCAGCCCTTCCTGCCTTACAAACGTCTGGACCTTCACAGGATGAGTCACCCCCACCCGGAAACTTCTCCTTGGGGACAGGAATCTCGTCTTGTTCATTTGTACAAGAAAACATGATGTCATAGCCCACCCTTCCCTACTTCAGTCTTGCCAGTGGCTTCCTGGCCACACCCAGAGGCCCACCCAGACCTCCCCTGCAGCCCCCAAGGCTGGCCCCCCTTCTCCTCCCTCCCTCCTCCCTCTGCTCCACACAGGGGCTCCTCAGTGGGTCTCCAACACAATCCCCGTCTCTCCTGCCCCAGGGCCTTTGTGCAGCTGTGCCCACTGCCGAGAGTGTTCCTCCCTCAGAGCCTCTCAAGCCTGGATTTCCCCAGCCACCAGGTCTAGCTCAATGTCACCTTCCCAGAGGGGCCACCCTGACCCCCTCTGAAGTAGCCCCATGCCCCCCCATGAGTACCACATTCGAGACACAAGGGTTCCTAAGTTATTTGGTTCTTTGTCTTGCAAATTCAGAGGAGATCCACGGCAGGAAGGGGCAGGGAAGCATCAGGATCCACTAGAGCACCAGAGAAGGGCAGCCGAGCTCTGCGGGGAGGGGTCCTAAGGAGGTGGCCAGGGTGGCCAGGGTGGCCGCGGCACCTGCCATCTAGAAGTGCACATGATCAGGTTGGAGGGGACCAAGGTGGCCTGGGCACAGGCTGGAGGCTTCAAAGAAGGGGGTCTCTGAATCCAGTCGTAGCAGGACCCCTGGTGTCCTGGCCCCTGTCCAGTCGGGGGGCTGCGGGGGCCACTTCATCCCAGCTCTGGCTCCAATAATGCATGGGTCACGAGCGGCCCCGCACTGCCAGCTCCTGGAGTGCTGGACCTGTCTGCCGACCCCCTTCCTGCCCTGCTGGTCAGCGCCCAGAAGCTCCCACCAGTGTCTGAGGTCAGGTGGCGCCTCACGTGGACAGCCCCCAGCAAGGATGGGGGAGACAGGGCCTTGGCCAAGTTGCTGAGGCTGGACATGAACTCGAGATCCTCCTGCCTCAGCCTGTCCGGGAGCTGGGGTGGCAGGCATGGGCCATGGGGCCCGGCTTCTTTCTTTCTTTCTTTTTAATATTTCTTTAGTTGTCAATGGACTTTATTTGTTTAGATGCGGTGCTGAGAATCGAACCCAGGGCCCACACGTGCTCGGCTCTTCCCCTGAGCCCCAGCCCAGCCCTCTTTTTTAAATATATTTTTTATTTGTAGTTGGACGCAACACCTTTGTTTAGTTAGTTAACTTTTTTGGGGTGCTGAGGATGGAACCCAGCTCCTCTCACGTGCTGGGCGAGCGCTCCACCTGAGCCAACCCCAGCCGGCTTCTGCCTTTATTTCCTCTTCCTCTGTTTCTCTCCTGGACTGGGGATGAAGCCCAGAACGCTGCCCCTGAGCCCCACCTGGCCCAGGCCCCCTTCTGAGCTCTGTTCATCCCACCGGACTCCCCCCGAGGCCCTTGCCCTTGAGCAGCCTGACATGGAGGGTGGAGCAGGGCCTCAAAGGGGAATGTCCCTGACCCTTCTCAGGAGCGCCCACAGCAGCCACAACAGCCTTCCCCAGGCCTGGCCTCTGTCCCAGCGGCTCCTGCACCCCATGCCATATCCAGCCTGCGCCAGCCAAGCCCTGAGCGTCCTAGGCAGCTGGCCTTGCTGGCCGCCCCGACTTATGGTGCCCACAGCCCGATCCCTGTCCAGCCCCTGACAGAACCTCCCTCTCCCCAGCCCTGCCGGGGCTCTGGCGTGTTCAGAGTGCCCAGAACCAGCCTCCTCCCGCTGTGCAAGCCCTGAGGATCACACCAGCGCTGCCGCAGGGGAAGGGCTGCAGGGGCCGCGGGTGGAGGTCCCATCACTCCTGTCGCCCACACACCATCGGGTTTTAAAAGGGGCTGAGCTGCTCCATTTTACCAGCAAGAGATTCCAATTGCAAGACTCCCTTTCAGGCGGAGGGTGGGCTTCGGGTCCCAGAGGAGACAGGGTGGCCTCTCATCGGGCTCCCAGAGGCATTTCAGGGCAGAGACTATGGTGAAACATCTGGCGGGTGTTGACAACTCAACCCCAGGATCATACTGTGATGCAGAATTTTCAAAAGTCACCATCAGGGCTGGGGGTGGCTCAGGGTAGGGCTGGTGCTGGGTGAGGTCCCAGGTTCACTCCTCAGCACCCACTCGGGGAGAACACTCAGGGCTGGGCTCGGCGGTAGAGCACTCGCCTAGCACGGGCGGGACCCGGGTTCGAGCCTCAGCACCACATAAAAATAAATAAAATAAAGGTGTTGTGTCCACCTACGACTAAAAAACAAATATTAAAAAAAAAGAAAGAAAAAATTCACCGTGAGGACCAAACTTCTGTGCCCAAGACAAGTGCCTTGCTTGCTTTGCCCCCACACCGGCCCCGGGTCTAACAAAACTTTATTCACAAAAGCAGGCATCCACAACAGTCCAAAGCCAGCCAGTGCCACGGAGGGACGAGGTGGTCCTTCCAAAGGATGGAACCCTGTCATTCACCCTGGAGCAGAAGGGTGTCCTGGCCGATGCGCCACATGGATGAGCTTCCAGGTGTCCTGCGGATGACCCACGCCAGTCACAGAAGACAGCACTGGGCCTCCTCTCCACCGGCCGAATAGGCAGCTCCATGCGGATGGAAAGGCCGTTCAGGGTCCAGACACTGAGGACAGGGCGTGAGCGATGAGTCTGCAAGGCATGATGGGAACGCACCACCTGCACGGGTGGCGCTCAGAGGGAGGGCACTTGCCTAGCAGGCACAAGGCCCCGGGTTCAGTCCCCAGCACTCATTAGAAAAGAGCTGTGGGTAGAGCTGGTGACGATGGTCACACAACATTGTGACCCTATTTTTGGTATGCCAATTTGCACTTAGAAACGGTTGAAATCGCGAATGTTCTTACGTGTATTTCACCATAATAGTAACCGTAATGATAAAGATTCCCAGGCAATAGTTTGCATAT